AGGGTAGGACTGGTGGACTGACTTAAGACTTTGAAGAACGAAGCACAAGAGAAAATGCCATTGGGGGTAGGTGTCCAAATTCTAGAATCCGCCCTAGTGGGGTCTAAGACAACRTTATCAAGAAGTGCAATAAGGCTCGAAATACTGTCGAAGTCTGAGTCCCTCAAATCCCTTCTTAGACCCAAGTTCCACCCAATTCCAGAAGTGGAAGAGGACAGGGTGGTGAAAGACGAGATCGGCTCATTTTTCAAATCAGAAAGAGCATACAAAGACGAAAACTGATCCTTTAGAGGGGCGCTCCCCACCCAAGTTTGTTCCCAAAACTTTATGGAGTTACCGGAATTCAAGTCATACCTGATATTAGGGAGGAAAACTGGTAGTAGGTCATTAATGGCTTTCCAAGGAGAATTGCTTGTGGTCCTAGCTCTGATGGAACAGTTGTATTAGGAAGAAATAAGAAAAAAGAAAAAAAAAAGTAACTAGAAGATGTGAAGCATTCTTATATGATGGAGTACTTTTTGTGGCAAAATCAATAATCCAAAATCATCAATCCATAAAGCTACCATTAAAGAGTTATGGAAAGTGGAACCAAAACACAGTTAGGTAGTGCTTCTAAGCACCTTGAAAACCTACCATTTATGGTATTATGGATAATATCCGGAAAAGTACAGTAAACAGTATTATTAGTATTGCTAATTAAAAGAAATAATATTACTAGTATAGCATTGTTGTTTTGGATTTTACTCTTAAGTCTCAACCTAGGAAATCTCCAATCTCCATGCATGTAGATGATGCTTCTCCCTTAGCCTAGAAAATATAAAGAACACTAGGCTTGCAACCCAAATATAAAGTTCACAGATTAATGATATTGTTCATTCAGGTTTTTTTTTTCTTTGATCAATAGTTCATCAAGTTATTTTGTGAAATCTGACTCAAGTAACAGACCATCAGAAACCTTCTGACTTTACGTGAAGATACATAACTTGAAAGGGAGTTACAGGATATTTTTCTCATCTTTCAGTGTAAAAATAAGCTCAAGTAAAACTTTTTTTATGCTGTTACATCAGCAAAAGAAATATTGATAGTGCTGATGTGGAAGTTGTTTTTGTTTTGAAAAACAAAAGCATAGTCATTGGCAAACAACCCTTAAAGTTTGCATTTAATTAAAAACATATTACAGAGGATACTTGTCTCATTTGAGAAAGACAGGAAAATATAAAGATATATGGGAGAACAGACACTCTTATGGTTGAGAAGCATATGGCAGAAACGGTGCAAGAAATGACAGTAAAGACAATGTATTCCAGCATATATCCATGTAAGCATTTATGCAGGAAGAAAAAAAGGTTTTAGCTACAAGTAAGAGGTTCCAAAGAATGAATGATCAACCAGGGAGATTCTAACACCACTGGTCATCTTCTCCTTGTCTCCTGAAATGAATGCCTATTGCACATTATGATTTCCATAATTTCCTATAAAGTTTTTCCAATCAACAGAGATAAACTTACAGAACGTCAATACTAAAAGTTAAAGAGAGTGCAAGGTATCTGATTGTAGCAAGTCCAAGCAATCCATATTTGTAGGTAAAGACCCCTCGCCTCGCTGTGCAATTTATTCCTTCTTCAATGTTTGTAGGCATGCAACACTGGAAATGAATCAATTCCCGACTCTACATCTTTGAACATGAACGGTAAGTCAATCACCTGTTCATTATGAAATATATTTCATGACAGTAACGCTGCTTTCCTAATTCTTGATGTGCCATTGGTTTATATATCTTCTAATGGAATAAGAACATGCTTCATTCATACGAGAAAATAAGAGGAAAAGAGTATCCAATGAAATAATTAATAGTTGGAAACATCATGAAGCCAAGAAAAATGACCCACAACCATACATCTCTTTCTGTTTTGCTGTCTAGTCAAGAAAGAAACCATACGTGACAGAAAATATAATCACCGTTGCACAAACCAAGTCTAACCCCCTTATCATGAATCCATGATTCTTGGCAATGCTATATGATTCTTGACAATGTTATGACACCCCATAGATAATAATAAAACGAAACATGGATTAGCAAAAGAACTCTGTTAAAATTGAAGAAAAAGAATTTCCTGTTCTCTCTGCTTCGAACTACAACCGTGTACTGGAATGCACGGAAAGAAAAAAAAATGGGGAAAAAAAGGAAAAAACAAATCAAGTTTACCCATTTACAGAATCACATGAAGGACAAGACTCCTGCTCCAGTCAAGCCAACGATCCGTTCAGCCATAAAAACACCCGAGTCCAAATGATTGATCAAATTCAAGTGCATTCAAATCTAGCACCGTCCCACTAAACAAAAGAATAATGACAAAACTGGATGTTCCCAAATCAGGAATAAGTCAAGATCAAGTGTCATGTCTGTCCTTAATCTTTGACACCTGCCACCTCTTGAAAACTATAAATCCTACAACAGCAACCTGCAAGACCCCGGCAACCCCCGCAAAAAGCAAACCAATCTTCTTTCCAATATTGATAGTTTGATCTGGAGGCTTCGTTCTCTGCTTCTTCTCACCGTATAGACCATCTTGCTGTTCTTTAGGATCTGATGAAGTGTAACTAAAGTCTTTCGGAGATGATATTTTAGGTGGAGGAGAGGGAGACTGACGAGGAGTGGGCGGGGAAAAGGGAGGCGTGGAGTGGGGTGATTGCGCCCTGTTGCTTCCCGGCGGTGGTGGCAAGGGGGAAGGCGGAGGCGGAGGCGGAGGTGGAGGTGGAGGTGGAGACGGAGGCGGAGGCGGAGGCGAAGGTGGAGGCGGAGGCGGAGGCGGAGGCGAAGGTGGAGGCGAAGGTGGAGGCGGAGGCGAAGGTGGAGGCGGAGGCGAAGGTGGAGGTGGAGACGGAGACGGAAGCCGAAGCAGAAGCGATGGAGGAGACGGAGGTGGAGGCGATGGCGGATGATGTCGCGATGGTGTTCGATGACGTTGGGACCGGTGCCGAATTGTAGGAGGGGGCGGTGTTGAGGAAGAATGGGAAATCATGGAATTGTCTCCCAGAGACTCTACCAGGATGGTGGAAATGCTCATAATCTCCAAAACAATGAAGACTGAGGCCAGCAGTGGACGCTCCATGAAGAACAGGAAGGATAATCCGCTTCAAAGGGAAGTAGAGACACGTTTCTGATATTGATCGGATCTCTGCATCTGGGTTTCGTCTTCCTACCTTCTTCTGTAGAAATAGCAAGATGGCTCCATCAAGGATTGTTCAAAACTGCATAATCCCGAGAAGCACTAGAACTAAGGAAAGGGTTTCTGCCGCACCCCAACTCCTCCACCTGGGCTTGTTGTTGCTGTGCAGATTCGAGGGGATGGGGCTCTTTGAAAACTACTTGATTTCATCTCCTTTTGGCTGAGGCAGCATGAAGAAGTTGGTTCTTTGTTCTTTTCATTCCCTTCCCGGGAGACCTGCTAATATGCAAAGGAAAGAGAAAGAGAAGGAAAGATGGACAAAGCTGAGAGAAAGAGAAAGATAGAAGGCACTCGCGGGCTTCAACGGTTGGCCAAAATTGGGCGAGAGATCGGCAAAGGCGCGCATTTATGTGAGTATATTCGTTCTGTGTTAGGACTTGGGAGAAGTTATGTTGGAGAGAGAGAGGAGAGAGGGTGTTGGGACAGAGTGAGGTGACGAGAGAATAAGAAAGTCCAAATAACGGTTTTGTTGATATGGAGAAAGAATCCAAGCCATACTCATCAACGGATGTCAACAATTTTTGTAGAGGAAGAGGACCACGATTCATTAATTCAATGGGAAAATCTATGATACTTTTCCATATCATATCGGATGAAATGGACCAATCAACTTTCGAGTTTTGTTTCGCTGAATACGGGTTATGGCAAGTAACCGGTTTCAAAAACAAAAATTAAAATCACATTTGATTCTTAAAACAAGAATTAAGAAAGACGTTAACTTACGGAAAACTACTGATCGTCATTCTCCCTGATATCTTCAGCTCACCACCCCCGTTGAATCATCACCGACGATAATGGTTTCTCTTCGGTGTCACCTCGTCACCCTTGTGCTTCTTCAAGTGAATCCTATTGCTCTTTCACCCTGTGGTAAGCATTGTCTCTCTTCCTTTCTTTTCTTAATTTTGCTCTTGCATATTATTTTGATGGGTTTGTACTTATTAGTTTTATTTCTCTGCCAATTTATATATGTTCATCATTCTTTCATTCTTGTATGATTTGGGTCTTCATTGTAAGTCTTAGTTGGCCGATTAATGGGATTTTTCTAATAGAATAACATTCGTTTGGTCGGGAGAAAGATCCCGATGCCTGATTCTCCTAAAACGTCGTTAGGTGACAATCTGAACACATTGTGTCTAAAAAGGGGCCTGGATAGGGGAGAAAAATGCATGTTGCAAATATCCATTTTGAAGGAATGAGAGATCCATCATATGGATGGCCGAACCCTACAGGTAGGTTGGGCGAAATTTCAAAAATTTCTCTCTCCCCCATGTGAGAATCACATTCCCTATTTTAGAAAACTATATTTTCAATGATCAATTTTGAACCTAAATCGGATCATATCTGAAACCAAAAGGTAGGAGAGGGAAATACCTGATACAGAGTAGTAGTAACTCCCAATGAAGGTGTTCACGTCCAAGGAGATCACCAAAGACTACTCCCATTGAAGATGACATAGTGTAGGGTGGAGCAGAATCATCAGGGTGGTTCTTCAGCAAGAACCTGATTCTTCACCAAGAATCTGATGGAGGGAGAATGAGCACGACTTCATATAAGTTTTTCTTCCAAAAATTGATATCAAGAACCTTTCTTGATCGCTCCTACAGGTGGAGATCGAACAGGCAATGGCGGCAACAACAGGAGAAGGCAAGAGCAGAAGATGGCGTCAGTTCAACTGCAACTGTCTTCTCTCTTGTATCAGTAATCTTGAAGGATGAACTGGGGTTCGCCCTTCTCCTCTATTTAACCTTAAAGAGAGCTTCTCCTAATCCCATTAGGAGTTTCCTAATCCAAATCTTGTATTTGGATCTAGACTCTCTTTAAGAGATAAGGATAATCCCTTATCTTATCTGCAGATAAAGATCAACCCTCCTAATCTGATTAGGAGTTTCCTGATCCAAATCTCTATTTGGATCTGGACTCTCTGAGTGGATAGGGACAATCCCTTATCCTATCCGTTGATCTAAATCCTAGAACCACCCCTCTTTAATTAATCATATTAAATCAGTTCGAATTGGGCTTTATGCCCATTAAGTCCATGTGCTCTCTTATCCTCCAAGCTGTTGCCTAATTGGGTATGCTTGTATGGCGTGAGACCCAAACATTGATCTACACATCAGCCACATGGGTTCAGCCCAGCCTCTGTTACAAGGCCTGGCCGAATCCACTGTAGGAGATAGTGAACCCCTGAGTCCATCACCATGGGCTCTTAATGGGCCCAACATTTACACTAAATGGTC